TTCTGACCTCTTTCAATGTTTTCCTTAATCCATTACATCCTTTTCACAATTTTATCCAGTCATTTACAGTCCATTACCTTGAATTTTCACTTTGTTTGTTTGCTAATTAAGTCTGACTAATGAATAATTCAGATGTAAAAATGTGTCTAAACTGGAGATATAAACTCCCTTCTCCCCCAATCAGTTACATCTGCTTTGGGATGAAAAAAAAAAACATTTGGGTACCAGAACTAAAGTGGGAGTCAATGTAATTTTTGGATTGTTCAAAAAAATAAAATAACCAAAAAAGCAAAACAACAGATGCAATTTGAAAGTTTCAGGGGCTCAAGTACAATAGCTGATATAGCAAGCACTTTTACGAAGTTGCTTTTGGTCACAGATTGCAAATGTTATATTTAAATATAAAAAAAAAAATACTTATCACAAGCGACCAGACTGTCACTTTGGTCTGTCTCCACTAGTGTAAATAAACAACACCAGTGGGCCAAAGCTTAAATTTGAGCTTAATATTAACAAAGAGAATGAAGAAAGTCACTTAATAATTTATTAAGCTTTAAAGTTTAAAATATTATGTAAGTAGAATCGACTGTTTTGGAATTGAATCGGAAGACTACATTAAAAGTGAAATAAAATATTGTATCACTCACTTAGCTCACATACCTTAAAGTGTAACATTTATTTTAGATTTTAGAATAAAAGTGACAGCAAAAAACAGCAAAATGTAAGACACTACTATCCTTTTTCTACCCTACTCACATTTTTCCAGAACAAAAGGAACTGCTGATACAGGAAGTTTCATACTAGTCATATGTCCATTCATTTTAATTGACATTTTGCATCTATGTTAGAAGGAAATTATTTCTAGTAATTTTCTACTGCCTGTAAATAGCTTATTGTGGTTACATGACTAATAAATAACATCCACCAGTGGAACATCGCTTGGAGTTCTCCAGGATCAGTCATAATTTGCAATACTTTAGAATAAAAAACTGGTGTTAACCAAAATGAGAGTGAAAGTAAAGTAACTGATTCATTATAAATGCCTTTTTTTTAGAGTAATACATATGCTTCAGGAAATAATATCCACTCGAATAAAATTATATATTAAATATCTTAATTTATAAAAATACTTAATATACATAAATTGACAATATTATATGGCAAAAACCTCCGCAGCGATAAACTCATCGCAGCAAAGGGCTGTAGCCTCACAATATAGCATCTCACAGTCACAAGCCACCTTAGTGATCTGTAAGATGACACTCCATTGCAAAGTCATGGAGTGTGTGCTTAGTATTTTAAGCAATATAACCCATAAATGTAATGTTTTTGGTTGAATAATCAGTTGCTTGTTTTGCAAACAGACATGTCAAAGCTTGAATCTCCTTAAAACGAATAATAAAGACGATGTGGATGTATGTGACTCAATAGGAAAACTATGAAATAAATCACAATTACCATGCTCCATTTGTTTTGTTTGACTTTTCTCTCTATTATTTGAAAATTGATGTGCCGAGCCTGAATTAATTGCAGTGACCCAAAAATCTTCTCGCATTTTTCAATTTTGTGTTCCTGCTGTTCTTATCCTGCCAGTGGCAGGAAATTGAACCCTTTAGGACACATTGACAGATTTCTCTATTTATTCAATCTGTCTAACGGAGCAAATTTCAAGAAAGCTTGCTGGAGTGCAAGGATGCACATGTTTATCTTTTCTAAAAACCTCTCCACCATATGAACCATAATGAAGAAAATGTGCCTTAGTGGTGAATAGTGTTCTCAGAAAATGTACACGTTATGATGAACACTGTAGAAGAAAGAGGGGCAAAACTGCTTTCATCCCTATGACTCATTCATATTTTGCCATAATCACAAAACCTTCATAGATTTTATTGGAATGATTGATACATTTTTTCCCAAAATGTTTTAAATATAAAATATGAAAAATTGTGACATTCATATACATTCGTCATACTTTACTCCGGTACTCCCGAACAAAATCCAGTGCAACCAAGTGCTTTCACTAAGATTATAAAGCATATGGCAGCCTTAGGGCAGCCTATGTCAGTGAAGCAGCCAGATAGTTCAGTCCTTGGTGAGTCTGAAGGAGCTCCAGAGAAACAAAGCTCAAATAATGGTCAATATAAAACAGTTTAGTGCTTCGATGGTCTTTATAAAATAATGGTAATTGGGGGTGATTTGCATTGATGGGAACAAGAAAGTTTCTCAAATGGAGTTAAATAAAGGACATCCTTGGTACAAAACATACTTCAGAGGGTGCAAATGACTTGAAAAATAGTTTAATTCAAAGCATATTATTTTGTCAGCATGGAACATGAGTTAAAATTCAGTTAAAAAATCTGTGTCAGGACTTAGAAATTGAAAGAAAAAATTTACGCTTTTCAGAGGAACTGTTTGTGCTTGCTTTTATGTACAGAATGTACCACTCTCAAAACAGTAAACCCAGAAAACTGATTCATTGCATAAATGACTCTTGATTTCAACTGCATACAATTTGTAGCTCTTGCATCATGGTTGAAGTTTTGCAGTATGAAGAAAAGGAACACTAGACTGCAATATTCTGTCCAATGTGTAGTTATTCAATGATTAACCCACAATCAGGGAAGTTCAATTTTGAAGAAAAACTCTACTGATACCATCTGACAGCAGCATTGGTATGAATAAAGGCTATAAAAAGAAATGCTTATATTCTTTTGTCACAAGTTAAACAAGTACATGAAAGATAGAGAATGGATAAGACATGGAATGAAGATAGTGGGGAAGGAAGAGAGTGATCCATAAATAGTTAATGAAGCCTGAGCAGCTGAGAGAAGCACACCAAAGCTACTTAAACTAATCTGACCACAAACACAGCCACACTACAGCAAAAGCAAACATTGGCTGACAGTGTGCAAATACATGCAATGAAAGGAGGAGGAATAACATCACTGCTTAACAACACAGAATCAAAAACAGCACAGACACTCACTCCTCTGTGAACCACCTCTTGTTATGCTGAGTAAGAATATACATCATCATGGAAATATGATGAGCTTTAAAATGTATGCGATTAAAAATATAGGATCAGGGAAAACGTACCTATACCCCCTGCTTTTGTCACTGAATGTGAAGGCAACACATGGCAAAACCAGCAAGAAATCATCAATCATCAATCTTCTTACAAACTTTGGTTCCATAGCCTCAAAGCAGTGCAAAGTTGCATGGGTTTTCAAACACTTTGATATCTGAGCATTTGGTTACTAATGAGATATTTCTGATGAATTTTAAGCTGTTGCTCTCCCAGCGGAAAAAACAAAAAAAAGTTCTAAAAACGAATGGTGCAAAGAGGAACTGAAGGCAAAATATCGCCTTGAAAGTTTCCATTTGCACTCACGCTGATAAATGTGACAAACACACAGTGGGAGCACTAATACTTCATGGGAGTTCATCATCGTTGGTGTGAGACAAAAACCAATGAGGCTTTTTGGCAGATTTCCTGCTCACCCAAGGTTGACAAATTGCCAAAGCCCTCTGTTGCAGCTTCACTTCGACGCTGCTAACTGATTCATCTGCCATGACTTAGATTGCAGGAAGGAGGATAGCCAAGCGGAAATGCATGTTCCTTATACCTTAATTTGCATCAAACAACATGGAGCAATTAAAGTCACTTTGAATAGTAATTTGGTGCAGAGTAGGCTCAATGTGTCATACTTTGTTGCACCTCTCTTTAGTCAAATAAGACAAAAAAGGTTCCAAATGTGCTATTTAGAAAATTAGTGCATATGACAAGAACAAGAGTATAAAAGAGGAATCACTAAGATGTAATTAAAGTGTTATCCAAGCAAACAAATTACAGATACTCAAATATGTGGCTTGGATTATTTTAACCATTCATAATGTGATCAACAATGAATGACTGGGGAAGTTGTTATGAAGTCAAACTATCTCAGTAAGATATTGATTCACTAAAATTTTCTCTTAAATGGTGCATATTAAGAGACAGTTAATCTCCTGCGATGTGAAATTCTTAAAAAAATGTGGTCTCAAATATCGTTTAATTAAGTCTTATTTACTGCTGCACAAGATTCAGTGTCAGCCAGAAGTTTGAAACCAATCTTCATTTGTGTGAATGTGATGTTAAACTTGGAATTTTAAAAAAGCTTTTAAAGAGTTCTTTCTCCAGGATGCAATAATAATATAAAATATAACTTCAGTGCATTTTAAAAACTACAATAGAGAGTATAAATTAGAATTTATTGAGGAAGAATTTCTTGCTGAAGGCATGGTGGCTCTGTTGTAGTTTTACATTTAACCCAATCGCTAACGTTTGGCCATGAGCCTGGTATGTTCATGCACTTACTAGAAAGTGCATGAACGGTAAACAATCCCAGGGAGAAATCAAAGTCAACAGGAGAAGTCCCAGACGAAGCACTGAAAGAAGATGAAAATTGGACGAAATCATGTAGGAACGCAATAACCAGCCTATCTTTTGAGCATCATCCAAACTGTCTGAATAGGATTGAGATCTGAGCTCTTCCAGATTAAGCTTTAATCTATTCCAAAACCACTAGGGATAAAATGAATCCAGACACAAGCCATCATATTCCATTTGAGTTTTCAGTCTTCATTTTAGGTTGTGTTGAACCAGACCTACAGTATTTACAGTCTATAACCCTGGTTTTCTAATATCTTTTGCATGTTGCTTTTGAAAAAGATTAAATTAAATTGATCAAGAAAGAAGTACAATAATTATAATGTAGGAAGAACTTTTTAGTTGTGAATGCTAAGAAACAAAAAAGTTGTTCCCAAAGCATTTTCAGAAAACCAGAACTATAAATGAATCATCTATTCTGCTTAAACTTAAAGAACAATCTGTTATAGGAAATGAAATAATAAAAAACAGCCACACAACCTTCAAAAGTGTAATTGCTTGAAAAAAGAAAATGCAGATTCAACATTTTGTCTAACACAATCTTAAGAGTATATTTAGGAATTTAACTCACCTGAGGGTGAAAATTTGCACTGATGAAAGTGTGGACAAGGCCAGAAAAGTGGAGACCGTCTCTCTCTGTCTTATGGGTTTAGAGGGGGCCATCACCACAAAGTTATTGTCCAACTTCAGCTCAGATAATGGCTGCAACAGTCTGACGCTCCCAATGCGCTGCATAGGTGTATGCCCTGCAAAGTAGCCCAAAGGCCTCTGCTGTTCAGGGTGAACCGGGCTGCCCTTTCTGGAGTCCTCTGAGCTGCAGTCTCCACTGTCCGTGGTTTGAATTATGTAGTAGAGCTCCACAGGAGTACCCTGAGCCTGCTCTGAGACCCGCTGCCTGCCGGGCCTCACAGTTGGAGGGCTGAACCAGCTGGCCAGAGGTTCCAGCTCAGCAACACAAATCCCTAGCTCACCTTTTAGTCTACAAGTACCTCGCACCTCTTGGGTCTCATGAAAAGCAAACATCCGGACGCAAGGTAACTTGTGGACGGTGCTGTAATCATCCCAGTCCCTCCCTGCAATGTAGAACAACACTTGAACCTTTGGCCAACTGGGATGAATCTGCTCACTGATGATGTATGTGTGCACCTTCCAGTTGAACGTAAACAGAGGCGAAGAGGTTGCCGATGTTGGCGCTGTTGATAAAGTGAGGGATGGTGCATTAAATGGGCCTGGCAGTATTTGTAGCATCTCCAGAGGAACAGGTTGCTGGACAGAGAGTGGCCCGTAGCTAGCATTGACAAAGGGCATCTGCCGAGCTTGATGGATAAAGAAGGACTCTGTTCGAGCTTGGAGGCTGGAGTTCCTCATTATGTCCTGGTTTGCCTCCAGTAAGAAGAATGCTGACTCAGCATTGAGGATCTGGTAGCTGACCGGTAGATACATTGGCGTGGGGCCATATCTCTGCAGGCCATCCAGAATAACCTTGCAGTCCATCACTGAAAAAAGAAAAAAAGAAAATGAAAATCACTTTTCAACAAGTTTTGGCAAACCTAAAACTGATCATTGTACTTTTATTAGTAAGACCTATGAGTCTAGAAATCTCATGGCGTAATATTCTGCATGTAATTTTAACTGGTGAAGTGTTAGCTATTATGGAGACAACGAAAATATGACACTAAGCTCGACAGTGAGTTGTTAAAAACACGTGTTTTTCCCGGAAACCAAATCCTTTGGTTGTAATATTCAAATGATGAAATTATTAGTATGGTAATAAATAGATATTTAGAAATTGTTTAATCTCTACTGTTCTACTTATTAGTTACCAATAAGTTATTGGTAACTTAGATTAAAAAAAAAGACGGTATTCTAAAAATGTGTTGAAGTTACTTGTTTTATCACAAAAATTGTGTCTATTTAGAAATGTCTAAAATGTAGCTTGATTGCATAACCTAACAGACTGGTATTTTATATTAAATTAAGCATTCCCTCAGGAATTCAAAAGATGATTTGTATTTATTTAGTGTTTTATTTAATTATTATTTTGTTTGTTTTTGGTTTTACTGCAGTGAGGTTTTCTTAAATAAGTAGCAATACCGACTTTCCTCTTCTTTTTCCCCCCTTAATACTGCTTTTACATTGTTTTACTATCTTTTGAAAAATGCCTGCCTCAATTACTATAATTATGTGTTTTAATTAATATCAGCTTAATTAAAACACAAGTCTCAAAGCACATTTATGGAATGAAGCCTGTCCTCCAATGACCTTAGAACCTGCGTCCATCACCTTATCCTGTAAATCCTCCTCACCACCTTCATCTCCACCATCAAGCATAAAACTTCAGATATTTGGACTGATGGAGAAGGCCATTAGGACCCATTGATTTTCTGTCTTGGACCCTGCATGTTGTGTGGAGACATGGAGTGGTAGTGATTTGTGACAGGCCACGGTCAGAAAGCAATGACTGGCTTGCCAGATGGACAGAACGAGTCATAACAGCAGCACCTCTAAAACAATACAAGACTGATAAACCAAGTACTCAAAATAAAAACTCCAATTGCATCCCTAAATAAACAGTTCCAGATGGGATTTTAGGAAATGTGCAAATGCTGTTTCAAGATAAACAAGCGACTTGACGCATGGCTGAATAAGAGGTAAACTCTAATACAGAGGTTTGAAGAAAAAATGTATAACATGATTTATTTGTCCTTATTTGAAATTATTCATAATGCTGGCAAAATTAACATTTGAATTATGGCAACATTTTTTTCTAACTGGCTAACGTACAGAATAAACTTAGTTAAATTTAGAAGTTGCTTTCAGGAATTTATTGCACAGAATGTTGTGCTTTATAGGTATTCTCATCTTATAGCATACCACAAGATGATGGTACTTATTTGAAATTGAACCACAAGGTCCAGACCCAAAATATTCTGCTGTTCATTATGGAGAAACCCAAGGAACTCAAAGATTAAAGGGAATGCCTTGCTGGACATATAGTTTACCCAACAAATTCTGGAAGAAGTCAAACGCTCAAAACCATTAAAACTGACTCCTTTTAACGTGGAGCTCTACTCCAAGCTCCCCATATTAGCTACTCTATCTTTGAGCTCGAGCTGTTAATATACGATTTAGAAAAAGCTATTTAGGATTTTATTATCAGTGGCAAAAAAAAAAACAACAAAAAAACAAAACACAGTAGGCACACACATTTTCTTCAAATAATTGAGAATCGTTCAGAATAATGCCTGACTCCAGCACAAATTGTGTTGGACGACCTGATTAAAAAAGAAAGAAAAAACAACCAAACCTAATTACAGAGTTTTCTGTTCTCAATATTCATTGGCAGCAACAGTAAATATCAAATAAAATAACGATACATATAGTTTAGTTCCATTATTTTCTACTACTCAAAACAGTTCTTAGTGGAAGAAAAATGAAGAAAAATATATAAAGACCTGTGATATATATATATATATATATATATATATATATATATATATGGTGGATCATGCGCTGCAGAAAGAGGATTTTGCTGTCTATCCTCCCCTCTGAGAGATGTGACACACTGTCCTAGTTTCGACTTACTATGACATGGATGAAAACTAAATATTTCAACATAAAAACTGTCATTTGTAACTTTGGATTAAGAACGTGTTCCTCCTCGTGACACTGACAGGACGATGCAGCTGCAGAAAGGCAAACCAGTGTGATTTGCAGCCCTGAGGTTGCCCTTGGATTTCATACTTGCAGCTACTATGCTTGTAAATCATGACTGCAGAACTGTTGCTCCAAATGAAACTTAACCCCTGTGGTAAATCCCAACAGTAAAGTCTTGCAGGGGATTTCTTTTAGGTCTAAGGCAATCTTATCACATCATCCTCTAATCATTAGACAGATGTTCGTTTCAGATTCAGGATGTATTTTATTTTATTTTCTGACCCACAGAGATTTATGTCACTAGGAAAACATGTTTTAAAATAAACCCTAATTTTTTATTTATTTATTTTTTAAACAGATCTCCAACAGAGACTGGTGGCTTCACATCAAACTACTTCTCATAATCACCTGCTCTTATCCGTAGCAACCAAAGTAGGAACTTCATCCAAGAAAAATAATCCTCTCATCTTGCCATTTTTCTCCTTCTCCTCTTACTCTCACATTATCTTACACCATGTATGAATTTTGCAGCTACTGCCATTCCTGATCAAATGCATTAAGTTTAAATCTGACTTATTTATTCTTACATAAACTTCAGAAAGTTTTTTTTTTATGCGAAAGTGTAAGAAGAGCAATTGAAAATTGAGTGGGTGGGTTAATAGTTTGATTTTTTGCTCCAAGATTCCCAATTCTCAAGACAAGATTACCACAAGCAGCACCTTACAACGATGAAAAGCTTCTGTTAACATGCAACATTAATGGGTTTATAGTTTCTCAATAGACAGCTACAACCTGCTCCAGACTTTTATTTGCTCAACTAAACAAGGAAAAGTGATCAATGACAGGATTGGAGAAACATATCTTAACCCTTTTCCAAGATTTGTTCCAAGTTTGCATGCAGGGACACTTTATGCAAAGCTACTCTACCACGCCAAAGTAGAGTAAATAAAAAGCTGGACTCATTGTGTGCCAGCTGAGGGGTCTAAGATCACAACCTGGTTCATGTCCAGCCTTTGTATACACCCTTTGTACACAGACAAGCAGTTACTAAACTGCTCAGTGAACAGATGTTTTGAGGAGCTGTTTCCGCTCCGCTGTGTTGGAAAAGCTCTGTGCTCGTCAAGGGGAGGACATTGCCGGCATAACAGACTGCATCACGGACAACATTAACTTCTGTGTGGACAACACTGTGCCCCTCAGCAGTGTTTCTACAATAACAAGTCCTGGATCAACTCTAAAATAAAGTCTCTTCTCAAGGAGAACAACAGAGACTTTAGATCAGAAAACAAGAAATAGCCGAGAGCTCCTTATGTTTTAAATTTACCCTTACTGTACAAGTCTCAAACTCAAGGCCCACAGGGCAACAGAGATCTTCCATAACTATTCAAGCGGCCTCTAGAACCTAATTGCTACATTTTTAAAAAGTACTAATTGAATGGAGACATTTCAACAGTTTAACAGGTACTTTTATCAAAACATTCTACCACAAAGGGCCTTTTGAGAGCATTAAAGATCTTGAATTGGCCCGATGTGGCACCCTTATTCCCTTTTTTATTTTTGTTTATTATATTTTTACCTCTGTGTGAATTTGCAGGCTTCCATAACTTTGAGGCTGATACACTTGAGTTTTGCATGTTGTCGAACAATACAGGGCATTTTATTTCTTCTTCTTAATCCATGAAAGACTAGAGTTTTGTCAGTCGATGCTGCATTCTTGTCCAAAAGGAGTGAGTATTGCAAATCAGTGACTTGGTGCAATTAGCTGAGGTTAAAGGTTACTTTTTTATAAGGGTAAAGTAAGGTAAGGTTATTTTATTTATACAGCACATTTTCAGCAAAAAAGAATTTCATTATACTATACATGAATTAGAGGAAATAGAAATAAAACAACAAAAAAAAAACCCAAGAAAAAGAAAAACAACAAAAGTATTCCACAATTATAAACTGATGAGTTTCTCTACATCTTAAGATTGACATATTAAAATGGTTCCAGTTGTTTTAGGATGCTAAGTAGATGGTACTTTCTAAGTTTGTTCTAGGTTTGTAAAGTACAAAGATAAATGTTGATTCTCCATGGTTGATTAAACCAGTTAATTGTTTTGTTGTTACCATGAACCAGATTTAATCTGTAATATAAGGCTTTTTTATTACTCCTCTGCTTACTGACTCCAAAATTCAATTTAAAGCCACAATTTAATAAGCAGAGTACTGGCCAGTGCAAAGAAACTGCAACTGGACAAATCTCAAAGCACAAGGACGACATGCAAACACACAAAAAAATAAATGTATAAATGCTTTAGTCATGCAACAGCCCAAACTCAATTACATCGCCCCACAACGTTCTCTACAAATGAGGGTTAAATTAGCTATCAAAACTATAAAGAAACGGTCTCTTTATTACTACTTTTAAACCAAAAACATCTTATATGAGTCACATTTTCAAAGCCTCCATCCAGGACCAACAAAAGGAGCTGGATGTCTTGTGTGAGCAGCTATCTGTCATTTCTGAATGAAAGAAAACACAAGGTCTTTCAGAAGAAAATCAAAGTCATTCAAATTATAAACAACCCACACGTTCTTATGTTTCCTGATGTTTTTATGTCAATCACTTTAGCATCATGAAAAGCTGGGGTCTTTTTACACTGCTGATTGTGTGCTTTAAAGCTGAAAGCCCTTGTTTTGTGTCTTCCGTCACTGACATTTAAAGGGCTTTTGATCACAATTTTTTGAACATTCACAAGGTAAAACATTAAAGTTTGATCTTTACATGGCATTTCCTAACTTTTAAACATTTACTCAGTCTCAGGCCTTGGTCTGCAGAGAAACTGCTTAGGGGATCTAAGTCA